TTACCCTCCATATTGTAACCAGAGTGATCTTTTTGAATTAAAAACATCATCATTCCATCTTCTGCTAAACCTCCACTTAAAACATTTTAGTGGCTTCCCACTGCTCTTAGGAAAAAAATAAAAATCAGAAACTCGGCAACAATTCCTAAAATGCCATTTTCTCCCCTTCAGTATAATTTCATAACATGTTCCTACTGTGTCTTTTTTATTTATTATGTTATCTTAATCACCATGCATTACATCATTAGTTTTTGACATAGTGTTCCATGATTCATTGTTTGCGTCTAACACCCAGTGCTCCATGCAGAACGTGCCCTCCTTAATACATATCACCAGGCTTACCCATCCCCCCACCCCCCTCCCCTCTAGAACCCTCAGTTTGTTTTTCAGAGTCCATAGTCTCTCATGGTTCGTCTCCCTCTCTGATTTCCCCCCCTTCATTCATCCCCTCCTGCTATCTTCTTCTTTTTTTTTAACATATAATGTATTATTTGTTTCAGAGGTACAGGTCTGTGATTCAACAGTCTTACACAATTCACAGTGCTCACCATAGCACATACCCTCCCCAATGTCTATCACCCAGCCACCCCATCCCTCCCACCCCCCACCTCTCGAGCAACCCTCAGTTTGTTTCCTGAGATTAAGAATTCCTCATATCAGTGAGGTCATATGATACATGTCTTTCTCTGATTGACTTGTTTCGCTCAGCATAACACCCTCCAGTCCATCCATGTCGTTGCAAATGGCAAGATTTCATTCCTTGTGATGGCTGCATAATTTTCCATTGTATATATATACCACATCTTCTTTATCCATTCATCTGTCGATGGACATCTCGGCTCTTTCCACAGTTTGGCTATTGTGGACATTGCTGCTATAAATATCAAGGTGCAAGTACCCCTTCGGATCCCTACATTTGTATCTTTGAGGTAAATACCCAGTAGTGCAATTGCTGGATCGTCTGGTAGCTCTATTTTCAACTGTTTGAGGAACCTCCATACTGTTTTCCAGAATGGCTGCACCAGCTTGCATTCCCACCAACAGTGTAGGAGGGTTCCCTTTTCTCCGAATCCCTGTAAACATCTGTCATTTCCTGACTTGTTAATTTTAGCCATTCTGACGGGTGTGAGGTGATATCTCATTGAGGTTTTGATTTGGATTTCCCTGGTGCTGAGCGATGTTGAGCACTTTTTCACGTGTCTGTTGGCCATTTGGATGTCTTCTGTGGAAAAATGTCTGTTCATGTCTTTTACCCATTTCTTGATTGAATCATTTGTTCTTTGGGTGTTGGGTTTAATAGATTTTGGATACTAGCGCTTTATCTGATAGGTCATTTGCAAATATTTTCTCCCATTCTGTTGGTTGTCTTTTGGTTTTGTTGACTGTTTCTTTCACTATTGACTATTTCTTTCTTGATAAAGTCCCAGTAGTTCATTTTTGCCCTTCCTTCACTTACCTTTGGAGATGTTTCTAGGAAGAAGTTGCTGCGGCTGAGGTTGAAGAGGTTGCTGCCTGTGTTTTTCTTTAGGATTTTGATGGACTCCTGTCTCACATTTAGGTCTTTCAACCATTTGGAGTCTATTTTTGTGTGTGGTGTAAGGAAATG